GCAATATAGGAATACAATATAGGAATACAATATAGGAATACAATATAGGAATGCAATATAGGAATACAATATAAGAATGCAATATAGGAATGCAATATAGGAATGCAATATAGGAATACAATATAGGAATACAATATAGGAATACAATATAGGAAAGCAATATAGGAATACAATATAAGAATGCAATATTAGAATACAATTTAGGATTACAATATAGGAACACAATTTAGAAATACAATATAGGGATACGACATAGGAATACAATATAGCAATGCAATATAGGAATGCAATATAGGAATACAATATAAGAATGCAATATAGGAATGCAGTATAGGAATGCAATATAGGAATACAATATAAGAATTCAATATATGAATGTAATATAGAAATACAATATAGGAATACACTATTGGAATACAATATAGGAATACAATATAGGAATACAATATAAGAATACAATTTAGGAATGCAATATAGGAATACAATATAAGAATGCAATATAGGAATGCAATATAGGAATGCAATATAGGAATACAATATAGGAATGCAATATAGGAATACAATATAGGAATACGACATTGGAATATAATATATGAATATGACATAGGAATACGACATATGAATGCAATGTACAATATAATACAGTATAGGAATACAAAACGGGAATTCAGACGTAAAACGTCAATTTCGACTAATGATAAGAATAATATAATTGATATGGATAGATTCAAACAGCATTTTGAAAATCTGGGACAGTCCACCAATAAGGAAAACGTCCATAATTTTGATCCCAGACTGATCACCCATTCAAATAACGAGGAAATTAATACTAGCATTACAGTAGAGGAGGTTATGACTGAAATTAAAAAGTTAAATAATAATAAAGCAGCAGGTGTAGATTTAATTATAAATGAATTTCTGAAAAACAGTCGCGATGATATTACATCCTTTATTGTACAATTGTTTAATATAGTTTTGGACACTGGTATCGTTCCTACATCTTGGACAATGGGCTGTATTAAACCAATTTTCAAGAACACAGGTGACCCTAGTGACCCTACCAACTACAGAGGCATTACGCTACTAAGTTGTCTAGGCAAATTATTTACAGCTGTTATAAATGACAGGTTGACATCTTATTTGAATTGTGTGGGTTCCTTGGGTGAAGAGCAAGCACAGGACAAGTTTATGGTTTAAACTAATCTCCAACCATATAAATGGTAACATTATTACAGTTATTTATAATATGTACAACCAAGCAAAGTCTTGTGTTATTGACGGAAGCGATAAATCTGATTTCTTTAATTGTAATGTTGGTGTTAGACAAGGTGAAAATCTTTCACCACTGTTGTTTGCTATTTATCTTATCGATTTCGAGTATTTTATCAGTAAGCACTAAAATGGTCTAAAACATATGGCTAGCGAGATTAAAACATATTTAAGTAATGAGGATATAGAAGTATTTCTTAAGTTATTCACTTTATTATATGCTGATGATACCATTGTACTGTCTGAATCAGAAACAGAATTGCAATCTGTGCTAAATGCTGTTTATACTTATTGCAACGAATGGCACTTAACTGTAAATGCTAATAAAACGAAGGTTGTTATTTTCTCACGTGGGAGAGTTAAAAAGTATCCTGCGTTTAAGTTTGGCAATGAAACCATTGAAGTAACATTTGATTATATTTATCTTGGCATAACATTCAATTATAATAACAAATTCAGGAAAGCAATGTCTGTAAACAGACAAACCAGGCCAGATGTGCCATGTTTAGCTTACTGATGAAGCAAAAAAAATATGTCTACCCATCGACATA